AGGGAAAAACCAGGTGCAGAGTTTGGAGGTGTCTTAACTAGGAGATGCTGCCAGCCCTCTGTTCCTTCTTACCATCATGTCCAATGGCTCTCCTGATCCCTACTGTCAACGTGTCTCCCGGGTAGATGAGCCATATTGTGGACTGGAAAGATAGACCAGTTTAAACTCGTAATGTGAGTAAAAGACATGGATGGAAAAGTGGCCCTGTAAATACTTGTGTTTCTTCATCCCTTCTGTCACTTTTGATTATAGATGACCGACTTGTGTTTTCAGTTTCGGTATCTCCACCAACTTCAGCAGCATCAATCCACATCACAGCAGAACTTCATGTGAACATACTTTATCTAGTCTTCACTGTTTGGAAATCACACTGCCAAAAGTACAGATAGGAGAGTCAGAGGAAAACCAGCTGCTGCATCAGAAGGTAAATAGCTCATTTAAGAGGTTCAATATGACTTCTTGAAAGATAATAAGCCAAACATACTTTTTAGACAGTTAGGATTTTGCAAGAATGGGGACACAGCATTACCAACACTACTTACAATTGTCCTACTAGCAGTTTACTAGCACACTATAGAGTACAGTCTCAGTTGCAGCAGTTAGGCACCCTGCAGAGAAATAGAGCGGGCTTTATTTTGCATTTCCTCAAAGGAGAACATTGCTTTACCTCACAAACATAAATGTCAATAAACAGCCACATATTTCATGAAGGTTAGTTCCAGTAAAACTTCCAGCAGCCACCCCAATGAGTAACAAGGATAAACCCAGGGCAAATCCTTTTCTGACTGTTTTTGTCCGCAGCTGCCTTTGCCATGTTTTGTCAGTGCGTCCCCCAGGAATCCGCAACAGCTGCCCAGCGGGCTGGCAGGGGGCATCACAGGGGGATGCTCACCCCCCTTTCTTTACCTCCTTTCTTACCTCCATGCCCTTGTTTTCTCACTGCCTCCTTCACGAGCAGTCACGGTACTTGCCACGTTTGCACTGGACAAGTGGATGATTGTCGGATTGAAAGTAACCAGAAAATGCTTCTTATCTACCTATTCCTTTTACCATCACTTTCCAAACGTGTTACTTTTACAAGAAAAAAAATTGCTTTTCTTCCAATATGACCACAGGCTATTAAGCCAGCCAGGCAATTAAAAATAAAAACCCCCAAACCCTATAGGTTTGTGAGGAACACAGTTCTTTGACCAATTTTACAGAATATTTTGATTACAGTATTTAATTCCCTTTACAATCTTTTACTTAGCTCTAATCATGAAAATCCCTGCATCGCCGCCAAGGATTTTCTAGACAAAAGCGTATCTGGAAGAATGCCATGGAGCAAGTCTGCTTAGCTGGCCTGTCTTCCCCGAGTTCTTACAAACCCATTCCCCTGCACATAGTTCTTTAATGAAATCAGAAGAACAAGAGATAGACTGTGCTTTTAGGTAATATCCATACATGGCTCTCCACCGCCCGCAACACTGTTCCCAGCTCTGCGGCAGCTACTTACTACACATCATGTGCCCTGCTACATACCAGCTTTGGAGGGAGCAAGCAACCTGTCCCCCCAGGTTTTGGAAGGAACCTGACTCTTAGTTCTGCCGTATCCAATTAAAGCAGATGGATAGAGCTACAGATTATTGCCAAAAGTGTGAGTTTGAGTGAAGAATTTATGAGTACTCAAGCAATATCTACTGACGCCAGAAAGGCTTCCTGAAGTTTCTAAGGAAACCCTCAGAAACACGTTGGATCTTCAATGGCTATTACGGCCACAGTCTGACCCAAAGGGTTGCCTCCAAAAGAGGCCGCCTCACGCAGAAGTGTAGCTAATTTAGCTGCATAATGGAGAGAGTTCTGAAGATGCACATGGGCTGAATTAAGGACTCCACGGGAGCCTTTGGCTCATTCCTTGCGGAGTTTATTAGTTGCTGCTGCACACATGGTTAGGTTTGCTGGAAGAAGTCCAGCTCTGAGGCACCTCTCAATTCCTCCAGCTTCTAAAACTTGCAAGAAAGTGGCTCAAGCGTATTGCCCCCTCTAAGCTCTTGTGGAGAAGGACTCTCCCCTGCAGAGAAGCAGACAGGGTTTGGGAGGGGTACCTAGTCAAATAACTCTTGATTATTGAATTTACCTCCACAATTACCAGTGAGTATCCCAGACTGTGAAGGGGGTAAATAAATACCAACAGATTGTATTATTTGAGAAACAGTATGTGATTGTGTAATTAAGGGCAGGAATATAATACCATATGCACAAAGGGCAGGGTTAATTTCAGCATTTCCTGACTAACCAAGGGCATTACGGTGTAACCCTAATGTTCTCCGGATGGCTATCATTTATATGGAGTTCATATATATGCTTATGAAAATTCGGTTAAAATTCACCCATCATACTCTGACACAGTAATTAAAAACATCATGTTAGCTGCCAATGAAAATATTTTTGTGATTTGGTAATTATTCCAAACCTCATAGTCGCAGTTCCCCTACCCCCCACCCTTGTTGTCTTCCTGTTCTATAATGTATAAATCTAATCTTGATGATGGAAAAATAAATAAGTAGCAGGGAAGGCTGGAAAGCTTCCAATCACAAAAGCTCCCAAAATGGAAGCAACATCCAATCTGGCCCACCACATCTTCTAGGTGGGCACTCCTTTCCTGCCTTTTAGTGATGCTTTCAGTATTCATAACAGCTGTGGAATTAAGCATTATGAACACGAAGAAACCAACATGCAGCCTTTATTTTTCCCCATCAGTCCCAAACCGTTCTGCATTGAGTTACAAAGTGAAAACCCACATGCTCTCAGATGGATTTAATTTCAACTTGGGCCCAATGCCAGACAAAGTTTCCCCATTGTTAAAACTCCACCCCATCTTTTCCATACCATGCATACAGTCCCATCCTCACCCATCTTCCAAACATATGTGCGTGCACACACAGACATACACAGAGAACCAGCCACTCCTACAATACAGAATCAAATCCCTCTCTCCTGATGTCTAGGCTCATTGCTTTCCCTGGGATGACTAGTGGGCAAGTTGGATTTGGTCTATAATGCAGATTTTTAATATTTAGGAAAATAAAGGCTACCTAAAATATACATTTTCATGTCCTAGATATTGTCTTCATAATAAACCTTTTTTAATAAAAAAAGTCATTTTACACAACCAGGAAAATGTTTGTTGGAGAAGCCAATTATTCCATTCAACAATAAAAGGGTTAAAATGTGATTAAAATATTAATGCTATAATTCAAAGTACAATTTTGGCATAACTTCAGCTAGTGATTTAACTAAGGCATATTGGCTTACAGAATCATGCAACAAACATAGATTTCAGAATACAGAAGTATACAGCTTTCAAATGCATACAGAAAAGAGAAACGTGTAACGGAAGCAGTTAAGCTTTTACATGTACAGACTAGCACCAGGTCGCTGTTCACGGCAATTGTCTTCTCTCTTGTCCTCTTCCCATGGATGCTGCATGAACAACTGCAATCTATTTTTATAAACTGCAGACATGTTTGCTTGTATTAAAGCTAAGGCAAGTAGTGGAAAACAGGAGAGGAGGTAGATTGAATTACTGTGTTTGAATGTTTGTTTTCCCCTCCGTCTTCTACCTTTCTTCACAAGCAGAAGCATAAGATAAATTTTAAAAGACAAATGTATAAAATGTTGAGTTGGCCCACTTCGTGTTGGGCTTTTGGTTGCAGGAAATTTTTGCCTTCCTCTGTTTGCAAAACTGCAAAAATGCTGCCAATAGTACAATATGGAGAACCATGGGTGTATTTTCTAAAGAATTAAAAGCAATTAGCTAGAACTAAAGGTGGTTTCTTCTTTTACTGAGTTTTGTGTCCTTTACCCTTAAACAAGTAACAGAAGAACTTCCAAAAGTCTGCCTGCACACTTAGGATTGCCATAATTGTAATAATGTATAAAATTATGTTCCAGTTTACAACTGTCATAAAGTTTCACTAGGATTCCTGTATTCTCTTCAGCAGTGTATGACTAGTCTGAGTGTAAATAAATGGCACGCCCTACCAACAAGAACAGCATTCCTGCTAATAAAGCAAAAAATACTCCTATAGGAGCCAGCATAAACCCCCAGCCATAATGTACATAAACAGCAAAGTCTGGGCAATCCATTTTTTTCATGTTTGTGTAGTTTTCCAGATCAGCCATCGCCTGGACCCAGATGACGTACATCACGACTACCAGTGAGAACAAGACGCCTAGAAAAGAAACACCAGGTTTTAACAACAGAATGTGAGACAAATGCTGGGTGCATTTACGGTAATACCTAGAAACCCATCAATGCTTGAGTCCCTGACTGCAAGGCACAGTCAGCCACCACTGGATATTTTTTGTCTTTGGTTTCCTCTAACAAGCACTGTCTCCATCTTGCTTCTGATTTGCACTGAAAGGCACACTGCCATGACGAAGGATATATCTGGTTTTGGTAGGCAGATTGAAACACAGGTGTGTTTACGGACAAAATTCCAGCAGGTATGTACTGTTCTGAATTCAGGAGCCAAGGGAGGGGGAAGGAGGAGGGACGGGATGGGACAACCTGGAAAAAATATCTACTTTTGCTTCCCAAGCTCTGACATTGTTTCTATGACAGTCTTTTGGATGAGATATGAGAAGGGGAAAGGGGTGAGAAATCTTTCTGTCATCTTCACCTCTCTAGATTTCTTTCTTTTTTCTTATGAAAAGGGCTTTCTTTGGAACATACTACCTCCAGAGTATTGTACTCAAAATATTTTGCAGACAAATTCAGAGGTATTTCATTCAAAATCCTCCATTCCTGGTATAGGAACAAAACCCAACAATAATTAAATAATAGCTATGAAGCAGGCTATTAGTATTAACCTCAGAATGGATACAACAGTTTCCTGGAATTAATCCCCCACATAATTCACAGCCTTTTCCCAACCACTCCTCTGAAAGGCCTTTGGATTGCTTACACATGATAGTAATAGGAGCACATGTCCTTACAAACTTTCTTAATCTCTTTGTTACTATGCATCAGAAGGCGATATAAGAAGACAGTGCTTTCCAAAGTATCAGTTGCATGCCTAATAATTTCATTTCACTTTAGAGGAATGTGGACACTTGAGAAATGCAAGCCTGCAGCACAGATGCTCCAGAAGATCTGCTGGAAAACTGAGGGCACAAGTCTGAATTTTTTGCATGCTCCAGCCTGTACCCACTTGCTCCTTGAGCTCCAGCTGTCACAGCACAGTTACAGCAGCAGGACTAGCTATTCCAACATGAAAATAGTTGGGGGACACCACCCCGTCATGTTTTTATCCCAGGATGTTTAGGTGCCTCATTAAAACCACAAGCCAGTGCATACCCCTGGGAATGCTTCTTGCCAAACTTGAGTCTACAGGCTGTAGAGTTGCGGAGAATAAGTCAAAGGTATTTTTGGTCTCTTCCCCATCCTCCTAAATACTTGCGATGTAAGCTTGAACAAATGTGATATTTGTGGCAAAACCCACAAATGCACTGTGTAAGCACCCATGGACAGGCATTTTTTTCCAGACCCACCTGTCCTGGTAACCTTTCATGGTTACCTTTCCTCATCCCCACCCTGAGATGCTGCCTCACCACCTCCTTTCCTTGCCCTTCCTACCCACTTAGTGACAAGGCAGCAAGCAACTCTTGTCATTACTCCTTCATTGGCTTCAGGCAAAATCAGACAGGTTAGCTGGAGCAGTTTAAATTGGTGATCTGGTGACATTCTTGTTGGTGCTTTATTGTCAAAATGTAATAGCTTTACGTTCTGGACATCCTGAACATCTGACAGGTGAGAGCTCACAACTCAATGCTTGTGAACACTACCTTTTGAAGCCCACCAACAAATGAGCTGAAGTAGTGAACCTGAGGCATAATCAAAATGTGACTGAAAATCCCAAAGGATCTGAAATTTTTTATGAGGCTGAAAGAAAGGAGAAAAACCAAATCAAGAAGGATGCAGACACATTTCCTGTCTATGAACTATACTTCCAGGATTACATTTTTTGCTAGGGCTCAAATTCCTAACAAAGCTTAAAAACCCCCCAATACTCAACTCTAAAAGGCATAAATTCAATTTTGAAAGTATTTTACCTAGGTAAAACTCAATTTTAATAGAATTTAGTGCTGCAAGTGTATTAAACACACAACTGATGAACTAATGAGAGAGAAGGATCACCTTAGGGCCAGACATAAAAAATGAGAAATTAAATTGAAGACTCTCCAAATATAAGTCAAATTGAGCAGACGATTCCTATAACAGAACGTCTAATAACAGATAATGTAAGCAACACAGCAAAATTAGAACCAGAGGTAGGAACTTTTTATGTAAAAAGTAAAAAAATTCAGGGCAAAATTCATAAATGCAGTTATTAGAGACATGGAGATTGTTCAAGGTTTCAAAACTTCAATTAAAAAAAATTATAGCCCAAAGATTTGGAGAGATACATTGATAATATGGTGAAATCCATATGAACATTGGAATTTTCCTCTTCAGATGGCTGTGCCTGTGCATTTTCAAATGTCTACAGTCTTCTATTTATTCTGTACATCAGAGCAAACTTAGTCCAAAACAATAATAATTCCAAAAAGTTGTGATGTATATTCCCTTACTGTGGCAGCAGGTAAGTGCAACCAGGCCTTGCACATCTGGAATGCTTTTGACCTCCGGCAGCCTGGGCAGATGCAAGAAGTCAGAAGCATCTGCCATTAAAACCAGACTCTGTCAGAGGTGCTTTAATCTCGAAATGGGCACCCCTTGCTCTTTGGGCAGTCTGAAGCAGCACCTTCTAGGTAGTTAAACTAGAGCCAGCTCCATATAGATGTAAAGTAGCAAGCCAGTGCTGCCAGTGGTAAAACAACTTCAGGGAAGCTAAAATCCATCGGGTGATTTCACAGCAAGCTGCTAATATCTGTGTGGCAAATTGTTGGGTATGGAAATTTGCTGAAGAAATGTATGTCAAGCAGAGATAAATGTCCTTCTTTAAAAGAGAAGAAAAAGAAAAGGAGAATATTTAAACCCTCTAAGTTAATTAAGGCACTAAAGCAGTATTTAAGGGTTCTCGCTATCTGCTAATGGAGGCTAATTAGCAGGTATATTGCTTAGTGTGTTCAAGAAATGGCTTGAACAGTAGAATCAAGCTAAGTAAAAATTGACCATGTCCTGTTGCCTCCAACAGCATTTCATTCATTAGTGCTCCTTTTGTCTAATTTTCACAGCGTTATGATTTTATGGGAGTTAAGCACTTTCACAGGAATTTACTGAGGCTTCTGCGTGTTACAAAAGAGAAAAAGGAAAACAGAAGCATTTCTTAACAGGTAGACCGTCTGTTTTGGCCATTTGGTCTTGTTTCCTAAGATGTTAGAGTACATTAGAAGCAGTGCTGAGAGCAGGGAAGCAGATCTTGTACTTCTGTTATCACTAATGCATCTATTTAAAATGTTTGACGTTTCAGGCCAGAGGCATTAGTTCCTTCCTATCCATTAAGCACTTCAGGTTGTGCTTAAATTTAAGCACATGTGCAAGTCTCTTTGACTTAAAGGGTTTTTCCTCCTGGCATCCACACTGATTGCATCAAAATACCCGATTCAAAGGCAAGTTATGAGCTTAATGAATGGTTACTAAAGCTTAAATATTTATCTGGTTGTTAGATTCCAAAATAATACTGTTTATTTTCAGATTGTATGATTCCATGTCTGCTTGCATTGTCTTATTTTAACAAAACGGAGGGATGTTAACAGTTCGAGAAAGGATTGAAGAAAAAGCAGTATAAAGAGCAGAGTACAATTTGTTCAGCGGACTGAGTAGCATGTAAAATTCAGACACATATAACGTGTGAAGTATTTTGTACAGGCCACAAGATATCAATTTCGTCTTTGCATTATGAACTGTAATAGTCATGTCAAATAACAGTGAGCACGTTATATTGTGTTTACAAAAATATAGATCAAAAGCTGGATTTATCTCCATTTTGTAGAAGGAAAAATAAGGCTCAGAAATAATCTGCAGAAAAAGTGTAGATGTAGGCACAAAATAGAAGAACGGAGAGGCAGAAGACTTGTGTTTATTAGCACCTCCATTACGGTGTGTGTTATGTGTTAAGCAAATCTGCCTTGGCTTTGGGGAGCAAAACTCCTTTGAAAGCCAGAGTCAAAAACAAACCTTGGACACTTAGAACCTCTGAATAGCAGATTCTAACTGCTGGAGAGTATTTTCTTAGATAAAGAAACTTGCTGCTTGTGGAAGACAATGGCGACAATTCCTCTATTTATATAACTACATTACTGCTATTCCACCCTACTTCTGTATCCACAAGTTTGCCTCATGAGCTTGTTTCTTTCCTTCAGAATATTAGTCATGCCAGTAAGAGCTGAGAAAGCATCCATTACAAGTGTAATAGGAATGCCTGTTCATTATGGAGGAGAATATACTAAAATGAATTTGTATTTATTCTGGGAAATCTGTTCCTGCAGTCTTGTACTGACTATCTATTGTGAATGTCATGAACTCTGATAGCCAAGCTCCAAGGCAAAATTACTGAGACTGAAAAAAAACCTTCACAATTTCATGAAGCAAATATTTTTAGGAACAATGTGCGCTATGATGTATTTCTACATTTTCAGCATTTAGACCTTTTGTATAGTGTGCGGGTGTCCGTTTGCCCTTGCCTTTTAGTGAATATAAAATAAAACAGCAGTTGCATGAATCAGGAATGATGGGGGAAATTATTCCTAGAACATGAAATATGTCTGAGAGAGATTAAGACAAATAAATACTTCCCTCCTCCTCCTTCTTCCTTATTTTTTTCCATTTTGCATTTTTTTTAAGAACACACATGTTTGATACACAGCTCTGTGCAGTGTGATAAGACATGGACTTCTCTGAGGTCACTCTTTTCTGTCTTTTGCATTTATTCTTTTGAATTTCTTTCAAACAAATACTTGTGCATATTGCAGAGGAGAAAGAATACAGAACCTTTAGAAATGTCTATGAATTCAAGAAGCAGTTTGCTGGCCTTTAGTACTTATTCTTCCCACGTAGAAATGCCTTTCACTTGTCAATGGTGAATGGCTGTTTATGGCATGAATCTTTCACTATGCAGACACGAAGACAACAGGTGCTGGAAAGAATGATGTGAGCTTTTTACTTGTGCCTAGAAGTTTAGAACTCTTTATCTCATTTGAGGAAAACTTGTGTTTGTGTATATATATT